CCTGGGATGGGGTTGGTGGCACCTAGAACGTCATTGGGGACACCAGGGACATCACTGGTGGCACTGGGGACAGGGTTCAGGAAGGTTGGTGGCACCTCTGATGTCATTGGTGGCACTGGGGGCATGGTTCAGGAATGCTGGTGGCACCTGGGATGGAGTTGGGGACACCAAGGACACGGTTCAGGAGGGTTGGTGGCACCTGGGATGGGGTTGGTGGCACCTAGAACATCATCGGGGACACCAGGGACATCATTGAGGACACTGGGACATCATTCAGGAGGGTTGGTGGCACCTCTGATGTCATTGGTGGCATTAGGGACAGGGTTCAGGGGGGTTGGTGGCACCTGGGACATCACTGGTGACATGGGCGACGCTGCTGGGGACGCATCTGACACGGCTGAGGACATTGGTGCCATCTCTGGGGACACTGGCGGGACATTGGTGGCTCCGTTGGTGGCCTTGCTGGCGCTGGGGACACTTTGGGGACACTCTGGGGACATCGGCACCGACTACTGGCTGTACGCGCGCGCCCGCGTCTGCAACGCCACCAACGCCAGCGCCGCCGCCGCCGGGGCCACCAACGCCCTGGCGCACGGGGGGCTCACCCACTCCGGCCTCTGGAGGGTCTGCTGCCTCGAAGGTGACACCGGGTGGGGTTGGTGGCACCTTGGGGACATTGGGGACGGGGCTCGGGGGGGTTGGTGGCACCTGGGATGTCATTGGTGGCACCTGGGATGGGGCTGGGGACATCAAGGACGTGGTTTGGGAATGTTGGTGGCACCTGGGATGGGGTTGGGGACGTTTGGAACATCATTCAGGAAGGTTGGTGGCACCTCTGATGTCATTGGTGGCACTGGGGGCATGGTTCAGGAATGCTGGTGGCACCTGGGATGGAGTTGGTGGCACCTGGGACGTCACTGGGGACAGGGTTCGGGAATGTTGGTGGCACCTGGGATGGAGTTGGTGGCATTGGGGACGTGGTTCAGAAGGTTGGTGGCACCTGGGATGGAGTGAGGGACATTTGGTGGCACCTGGGATGGAGTTGGGGACACCTAGAACATCATTGGGGACACCAGGGACATCATTGAGGACATTGGGAACATCATTCAGGGGCGTTGGTGGCACCTGGGATGGGGTTGGTGGCACTGGGGACAGGGTTGAGGAAGGTTGGTGGCACCTCTGATGTCATTGGTGGCACCTGAGATGTCATTGGGGACACCAAGGACATTGTTCAGGGGGGTTGGTGGCACCTGGGATGGGGCTGGGGACACCAAGGACGTGGTTTGGGAATGTTGGTGGCACCTGGGATGGAGTTGGTGGCACCTGGGACATCATTGGGGACACCAAGGACACGGTTCAGGAGGGTTGGTGGCACCTGGGATGGGGTTAGGGACGCTGGGACATGGTTTGGGAATGTTGGTGGCATCTGGGATGGGGTTGGTGGCATCTGGGGACATCATTGTGGACACTGGGGACGTGGTTCAGGAGGGTTGGTGGCAACATCCCACTGATGTCCCCAATGTCCCCTGAGTGTCCCCCGCTGTCCCCAGGGCTGAAGCGGGGGCTGTGCCCGCGCATCAATCACTGCCCCCGGTGTCCCCAATGTCCCCGATCCCCTGAGTGTCCCCGGTGTCCCCAATGTCCCAGTGATGTCCCCTGAGTGTCCCCAATGTCCCCAATGTCCCAGTGATGTCCCCAGTCCTCTCAATGTCCCCAAATGTCCCCAATGCTGTCCCCAGGGCTGAAGCGGGGGCTGTGCCTGCGCATCAATCACTTCCCCGAGGACCTGGAGTACGACCACGACAGCGCCGAGTACCTGCTGCGTGAGTTACCATGGCAACCGTGTCACTGTCACCTCTGTGTCACCTCATTGTCACTGTCACTGTCACCACGACAGCGCCGAGTACCTGCTGCGTGAGTTACCATGGCAACGGGGACACTGTCACCTCACTGTCACTGTCACTGTCACCCCGAGTACCTGCTGCGTGAGTTACCATGGCAACCGTGTCACTGTCACCTCCGTGTCACCTCATTGTCACTGTCACTGTCACCACGACAGCGCCGAGTACCTGCTGCGTGAGTTACCATGGCAACGGGGACACTGTCACCTCACTGTCACTGTCACTGTCACCCCGAGTACCTGCTGCGTGAGTTACCATGGCAACAGGGACATTGTCACCTCTGTGTCACTGTCACCTCATTGTCACCCCGAGCCCCCGCTGCGTTGGTTACCATGGCAACCGCGCCCCGTGCCACCGTGGGAAACCTGGAAACCCCGCCTTCCGTTTCCATGGCGACGCTCCCGGCATCCTCCCGTTACCACGGTGACGGCCCGGTGCCCGGCCGCGCGTTTCCATGGCGACCGCGCCGGCGATGCCGCTGCCGTTGCCATGGCGACGCTCCCGAGACAGCCCCGGCCGTCGCCATGGCGACAGCGCGGCAGCCAGCCTCGCGTTTCCATGGCAACCGCGCCCGGCTCTCTGATTGGCCAGAGGTAACAGATTCCCCCCTTCACTGCTGGGTTCTGATTGGTCAGAGCGATTCCTGCACTCCCATTGGCTGGAGATAACAGATCCCCCTCCAGTGCCGGACTCTGATTGGTCAGAGGGAACTGACCCCCTCCAGCGGTGATTCTGATTGGTCAGAGCTCCCCAAGCTGCCATTGGCTGGAGATGCCCCCGAGGCCGCCCCGGCCGTCGCCATGGCGACAGCGCGGCAGCCAGCCTCGCGTTTCCATGGCAACCGCGCCCGGCTCTCTGATTGGTCGGAACTCCCCGAGCTGCCATTGGCTGGAGACAACAGATCCTGCCACCTGATTGGCTGGAACTCCCAGAGCCTTTGCCAATGCTGCGCTCTGATTGGTCAGGGCTCCTAAACCAGGCCCCTTTCCATTGCTGGGCTCTGATTGGTCAGAACTCCCAGATCCTCCTCCATTGCTGGGCTCTGATTGGTCAGAACTCCCAAAACAGATTCCCCTCCATCGCTGGGCTCTGATTGGTCAGAGCTTACAGATCCCTTTTCAATGCTGCACTCTGATTGGGCAATGCTGGGCTCTGATTGGTCAGAGCTCCCAAAACAGATTCCCCTCCATTGCTGTGCTCTGATTGGTCAGAGCTCCCAGATCCTCCTCCATTTCTGCGTTCTGATTGGTCAGAGCTCCCAAAACAGATTCCCCTCCATTGCTGGGCTCTGATTGGTCAGAGCTTACAGATCCCTTTTCAATGCTGCACTCTGATTGGTCAAAACTCCCAGATCCCCCTCCACTGGTGGGTTCTGATTGGTCAGAACTTACAGATCTATTTCCAATGCTGTGCTCTGATTGGTCAGAACTCCAAGAACAGATCCCCTTCCATTGCTGTGCTCTGATTGGTCAAAACTCCCAGATCCCTACCCAATGCTGTTCCCTGATTGGTCAGAGCTCCCAGACCAGATCCCTTTCCAACGCTGCGATCTGATTGGTCAGAACTCCCAGATCCATTTCTAATGCTGCGATCTGATTGGTCAGAACTCCCAGATCGATTTCTAATGCTGCCCTCTGATTGGTCAGAACTCCCAGATCCGTTTCCAATGCTGTGATCTGATTGGCCAGAACTCCCAGATCCGTTTCTAACGCTGCCCTCTGATTGGTCAGAACTCCCAGATCCCTTTCCAACGCCGCTCCCTGATTGGTCACACCTCCCCGATCCCGTCCCCGATTGGCCGCCCGCCCCCAGCGCTCCCATTGGCCGCCCAGGAGCTCTCCCGGGCCCTGATTGGCCGGTTTGTGTCCGCAGGCGTGGTCCGGGCCTCGAGCATCTTCCCGATCCTGAGCGCGGTGCTGCTGCTGCTGGGCGGGCTCTGCGTGGCCGCCTCGCGCCTGCGGCGCGCCCGCACCAGCCTCGTGCTGGGCGCCGGCATCCTCTTCGTGGCCGCCGGTAGGTGGGGGCAAAAACCCCAAAAACCCCAAATCCACCCCAAAATCCATCCTAAAATCCATCCTCTTCGTGGCCGCCGGTAGGTGGGGGCAAAAACCCCAAAACACCCCAAAATCCATCCCCAAAAACCCCAAAATCCATCCCAAAATCCATCCTCTTCGTGCCGCCGGTAGGTGGGGGCAAAAAACCCAAAATCCATCCCCAAAAACCCCAAAATCCATCCCCAAATCCATCCCGGCATCCTCTTCGTGGCCGCCGGTAGGTGGGGACAAAAAGCCCCAAAAACCCCAAATCCGTCCCAAAATCCACCCCAAAATCCATCCTAAAATCCATCACGGCATCCTCTTCGTGGCCGCCGGTAGGTGGGGGCAAAAAACCCAAAAACACAAAATCCACCCCAAAATCCATCCCAAAATCCATTTTAAATTAAATTTTTAAATTAATTCTTTTAAAACTTATTTTTTTTTCTTAAATTACATTTTAAAATTAAATTTTTAAATTAATTCTTTTAAAACTTCAATTTTTTAAATTAAAATTTTTAAATTAATAATTTTTTTTTTTTTAAATTTAAATTTCACAACGCAATTTTTTACCATTTCGTTTAGCCCCTCCCCCCCATGATTAACCCCTCGTTAACCCCTTCCCCGCCAGGCCTGTCCAACATCATCGGCGTCATCGTTTACATCTCGGCCAACGCGGGGGGGG